GCTAAGGTCGAGGCCGTGATGAGATGGGAGGTTCCGATCCATCTGAGATTCGTAGTTTCCTAGGATTGGCAGGCTATTATCGGAGGTTCATTCAGGATTTCTCCAAGATAGCTGTACCCCTGACACGGTTGACGAAGAAAGCCGTGGTCTTTCGGTGGGGACCCGAGCAGCAGGCAACATTTGAGACACTGAGACAGAGATTGTGCGAGGCGCCGATCTTAGCCCTGCTAGAGGGCGTAGAGGATTTTGTGGTTTATTGTGATGCGTCTATTTCAAGGTTGGGCGCGGTATTGATGCAGAGGGGGCATGTTATTGCCTACGCTTCGAGGCAGCTCAAGCCTCACGAGTCGAACTACCCGACGCATGATTTGGAGTTGTGGGCAGTGGTTTTCGCCCTCAAGATTTGGCGGCATTACCTCTACGGGGTTCGGTGTACCATTTACATGGACCACGAGAGTTCGAAGTACCTCATGGATCAGCCAAATCTGAACATGAGGCAGCGTCGGTGGTTGGACGTGGTGAAGGATTATGATTGTGAGATCCTTTACCACCCGGGAAAGGCCAACATGGTGGCCGATGTGCTTAGCCGCAAGGCGGCGCCAATCAGGGATATTTGCATGAGGATGACTGTGGTGACTCCCCTGTTGGAGCAGATTCGGGAGGCTCAACAGGAGGCTATCAAGGAGGAACATCAGAGGAGCGAGCGTGTGGTGGGTCAGGTTTCCTCCTTCGATTATGATAGTCGAGGACTATTGACACTACACCGCAGGGTGTGGGTGCCGTATCACGGAGGTGTGCGCCAGACCTTGATGGAGGAGGCACACAAGTCCCGATTCTCTATTCATCCCGGGGGGACGAAGATGTATAGGGATCTTCGTCTAGATTATTGGTGGCCCTGCATGAAGCGGGATGTGGCATGGTACGTCGAACGGTGCTTGACCTGCAGAAAGGTCAAGGCCGAACATCAGAGACCGCATGGGAAGATGCAGCCGTTGGACATCCCGTTGTGGAAATGGGAAGACATCATGATGGATTTTATCACAAAGCTTCCCAGGACTGCGTACGGATTAGATTCGATTTGGGTCATCGTGGATCGATTGACCAAGAGCGCCCATTTTATTCCGATCCAGGAGAGCATCTCGGCCGAAAAGTTGGCCGATATCTATATCAGGGAGATAGTAGTGCAGCACGGGGTGCCATTGTCAGTGATATCAGACCGAGATGTCCGATTCACTTGCAGATTTTGGAAGAAGTTTTATGATGAGTTGGGAACTCGTTTACATTTTAGCACCGCCTTTCACCCGCAGACGGATGGTCAGAGCCAACGAACCATCCAGACTTTGGAGGATATGTTGCGGGCATGCGTGTTAGATTTCGGTGGTAGCTCGAATACCTACCTTCCCTTGGCTGAGTTCTCATACAACAACAGCTACCACGCGAGTATTGACTGTCCCCCATTCGAGATGTTGTACGGACGGAGGTGCAGGACCCCGATATGTTGGGGTGAAGTTGGCCAGAGGTTCATGGGGAGCATCGTGGTGGTACTCGAGACGACCGAGAGGATCCAATAGGTTCGGAGCAGGCTTCAGACTGCTCAGAGTCGGCAGAAAAGTTATGCCGACAAGCGTCGATCCGACTTGGAGTTCCAAGTCGGGGATATGGTTCTCCTGAAGGTGTCGCCGTGGAAAGGCATCATTCGATTTAGGAAGCAGGGACAATTGGGCCCGAGGTTTATCGGACCGTTTAGGGTTGTAGCCCGAGTGGGCAAGGTGGCGTATAGACTCGATCTGCCGGACGAGCTTAGCCAGATCCACAGCACCTTCCATGTCTCTCAGCTGCGGAAGTGCTTAGTGGATGATTCAGCAGTAGTGCCTTTGGAGGATATTCAGATTGACGACAGCCTGAATTACATTGAGCACCCAGTCGCAATCCTCGACAGGAAGATGAAGGATTTGAGGAACAAGAGGGTGGAGCTAGTGAAGATGTAATGGCAGCACCGCAAGGGCTCGGAATGGACTTGGGAGCCGGTGGATGAAATGATGGAGCATTACCCCGAGCTGTTCCAGGATCGAGCAGCAGACTTCGAGGACGAAGTCTAAAATAAGTGGGGGAGATTTGTAGCACCTGGTTCCTGGTATGTAAATCTTAATTGAGTATTTTCCTTTTTAAGCCTTGGACTCGGCGAGTCATAGGTCCGACTCACCGAGTAGGGACGGGACCCGGGACACGTTTAAGTTGGCGACTCGGCGAGTCCATATCCTGGACTCGGTGAGTCACCGCTGTTGGATGAAACCCTAAGTTTCAGGGGTTTGCACCCCATTTAATCCCCCTTTCCGCCCCCAAGCCAGCCCCCATTCACCCTAAGAGCCATATACCTCGTTATAAGCTTTGTTTTGTGGATTTGAAGCCTTTTGGTGTGTCCTCTTGGAGATTAGAGTGTGTAGGGAAGGAGATCAAGAAGAAGAAGAGCAGGTCAAGCACTTGGGAGCAATTTCTGAGTGATATCTAAGGTATGGCTCATTTTCCCCCTTGTCTCCATGCTTATGGCCCCATTAAAGTCCATCATGGCTCATTTCCATGCTTGTATGTGCATAATATTTCGAAATTAGTTGATTGGTCCCTAGATCCAAGCATAGTTGAGCTCCAGGAGCTCAGATCCACTACCTTTATGAGCCCATATTGCATATAAACCTTAGATCTACTCTTTTGGTGCATTTTGAACCCTAAAAACCCCATAGATGGATATCTACATGTAAAGTTGGAAACTTTACGTGTTATTCATGCTCTAGGAGCCCAGATCTACGAATGACATGGATTGGATTCGAGCAAAATCATGGAGCTCGACGAGTCGCTCATCTGACTCGACGAGTCCAGTCGCGAGTCTCCGGGTTTGTCCCTTTTGTTATGTCGAGTCGCGTGGTGAGTCCAGGAGAGACTCGGTGAGTTGGAAGCCAAAACTCACCCATAGTGGAACTCGCGCGAGTCGATGCCCAGACTCGGCGAGTTCAAGGCAATCTCCTTAGATCAAGATCAGACTCGGCGGATTATTCATACAACTCGGCGAGTCACAATATATAACTTGTTCATCGGATGAAGATGAACTCGGCGAGTTGTTCATACAACTCGGCGAGTAGGATGAAGGACTTGAACATCAGTTTGGAAGGAGAACTCGTTGAGTCGACGCCTAACTCGACGAGTAGAAACAGAGTTCAGCCTAGTCGTTTGGTCATGGACTCGGCGAGTTGGCGAGCCAACTCGGCGAGTCGGGTCAACTGGAAGTTGACTCTGACTTTGACTTAGGGCATGATCAGGGGTAAAATGGTCATTTTACCCAAGGGTCAGTTAGCGGTTTTTGACTAAGTGTTTGGTGGGAATATAGCCGGAGGATTTCCGGAACAGCAGCAGCAGCAGTCAGACTTTTCCCACGAAGATCAGCAGCTACTCCGAGGTGAGTTACCTTCCAGTAGCGGTGGGTCTAAGGCTACAATGCCGGCCCACCAGTAGGAGATGTTTGACTAGATGATTGTCTCTGTGATATTCATCTAGGGCTGCTACCACTTGTGTTATGTTTATGTGTTTGTATGATATGATGCTATGTGCTAGTGATAGCAAGGGAAATAGTCCCCAGGTTACCGGTCGATAGGGCCGAAGGGGCAGTCATGCCCAGCCATGCTAGATAGACTATGTGATATATGTAGTAGGGGGTGAAATAGTCCCCGGTACCCGGTCGAGAGGACCGAAGGGGGGGGAGGGGGGCAACACCTAGATATGCTAGGCTGTATCCGATCGAGAGGACCGAAGGGGAGGCCAGCACCCAGATATGCTAGGCAGTATCCGGTCGAGAGGACCGAAGGGGTAGGTCGGGCACCCAGATATGCCTGAAAATTTATATCTGCTATGTGATTGTATGGTTTATGGTACAATGGGGGAACTCACTAAGCTTTGTGCTTACAGTTTACAGTTTTGGTTTCAGGTACCTCTTCATCGAAGGGGAAGGAGCTGGCTCGGTAGCGGCACATCATGCACACACATTGGTTTCCGCATTTACTAGATTTCCTTGGGATTTGTACTTTGATGTTTCGATTGGTTGTATGACTTGACTTTTGAACATGGTTTATGTTGTGATGTAGTTGGTCAAACAATGTTTTTATTTATTCACATTTTCTAAAGTAATGTTTTAAAACGAGATTTTTGGTCGTGAAAAAAATTGGGTCGTTACATATCACTACATCTGTCTATATTATTTAAACACACGTAAGTATCCATCTATGTAAAACATCCGTGCAAAAAGATGGGCATGACCGCTATAACAGTTGTGTTTATGTTCTCAATCGGGATAACGTGCATGTTTTGATAGGGATGGTGTTTCTTCATTTCCCGTCATTTAATACGAACATTTAAGACTTTTTGTGTGATGTTTGGAATGTGTTTTATGTGTTACCTGTTTCCTCATATGTCAGACTTCTTTTGAATTTTGACTCAGGTGAGGTGGATGACATTGCAAGGTCGACGTCACTTATCTTTGAGGTGAGTGGAGTTGGTGGGGCTGGTGTTGCTGGTGCGAGTGATTGGTGAGTAGTGACTGCTTCAATGTCGGTTAATATGAATCGAATGTTGTTTGTATTTGATGTCCTCATCATTTCGATGGCCATTTTTTTACAAACCTTTCTTATCATTGATGACAGATGGTAACCGCTTTCTGTTATTGGTTTCAGTTTCGTTTATGAGCTTGTTTGTTGTTATATTCGTTAACTTTTACATGACATTATCAGACACAATGACATTCATTGAATAAGTTGGATCAGTGATGGTGGCCAAGAGTTTGTACCTATATATGTCAATGACATTTTTTTGGTTAATGTGATGTGTGTGTGCTTATTTATATAAAATTACAGTTACATACACATATATTGGGTTGTTCGTCACTCCATCTGATGTACAAAACCAACTATTTCATTTTTCCATGTTGTTTTTATGCATTTAGGACAAAGCACATGGTATCAGGTGTCTATAAATGTCATATTAGCAATGGATGCCTTTATAGTAAATGTCCTTTCCTGTAAACATAAGTTGGAGTAGATATGGAGTTATAAGTATAGTTGGATGTTGTAAACAAATTTACATGATAACGTATTAGTGGTTTACCAGAAGCTCGCCACGACTTTTCTTGTTTATGTCGAACAACAATGTTAACGGGCCAGATATTGTGATCAAAGAGGTTGGATTGATTGCATAGCTGACATTTTCTTTGGATAGTGACTGTAAATGTATATGAAATGAGTATGCACAATATATGGTTTTTATACCTATCAAGCAATGCGATTGTTTTTGCAATCTGTAGGTTAACATAGACATGAGTTGCACTTGTACTTCCTAGCATTAATGAACCCGCTACTTAAAAATGTGTTACTATTTTGCTTATTTTCTTTTGGATAATTGGATATCATAGTTTGTATATTAGAATATAATATACTATTTTTATTTTTATTTTTCCTTTTTTTGGTTTTTGGTTTTGTACCAGCAACAAATGAAACTTTAACGTTTGTTATATTAATCACCATAGGGCCTGCTTCATTCTGAATGGCAACACAGTCAAACTTGTTACTTACATCGGTGCATTCTCTCCATAAGCTAATAGCAATTTCCTCACCACTACTAATCATGTGAGTTGTAGATGTTAGTAACATTGGTAATAGATTGAAAAAGATAAATTACGTACAAATCATTTCTCAGAATGATGAGAGTAAAGGGTTCACTATTTTTCTTGAAAAGTTCTCTGAACTTAAAGAAAATTCCTAAGAAGTTTGCATAAGTGATGAGAAGTTAAATATGAGATAATGTTTATTTTCGGGTACTTAAAAAGACGAGATGTTAAGCTGTTATGCAGTGTGTGTTCATGTGAATTTGTACTTGGGGAGCGATTAATAAAGTCCGGTATTTGTTTTTTGGTAATGAAGTGGAACCAATTTCTAGGAATCGTGCTCGTGTCTGGGAGAGCACTGATTGAAGCAGTCGTCCCAACAACAACGTATACATCCATTCTTGAAAGGAGTCTAGTTCTCCACGTGCATATTTGGAAATCGTGTAACATTTAGAAAGTTTAAAAACAGATTGTATGTATCCTCGATCTTTATTGTGTCCCAAAATTTGTATTGCATCTCCCTAAATTATCAAAACACAATTGAAGTTACAGAGTGTAATATGTATACTTTAAGAATACCAATGACATACTTACATGTTTGTTGACTGCCAGAAACCAAGTTTCATATGTACGGATTTGTGGCATCCATGTGTGTACAACACGAACCTCAAGTTTTGTTCCAGGTGCTTCGTATCCTAGCTCAACAATTGTTGTGAACTCTTCATACATCTTTTTGCTGTTATAGCCAATGTTTTGGAATGGATAGCAAACCCATGTTTTGAAAACCGGACCGCACCGGCCGGTTCGACCGGTTCAACCGGGAACCGGTCCCGGATCCGGTTCATATAGGTTAAAAAACCGGTATTTGTTTGAACCGGTAAAAACCGGTCCGGTTGAACCGGTAAAACGGTCAAAACCAGAAATTTTAAAAAATATATATATATATATATATATATATATATTTTATTTTTTGTGTTTCTTATATAATTAAATATAATTATGGTATCATCCGGTTTTTCCGGTTTTTGAGACCAGTCCGACCGGTTGGACCACTTGAACCATCGAACCTGTAAGACGACCGGTTCGGTCTCCGGTCCGGTTTCAAAACCTTGTAGCGAACATAACAAACTTTTGTTAGTAATGGAAATAATTTTTGATGTAGTAACTTAGTATAAAAGCATGAGATAAGAAATGAGCATTATAACATTTTCCAAAGATAGTTAGGTTGATAATGAGTTTGACCTCGTTGCTATCTATGCTATGTAAAAAATCTTCAAATACAACATTCTTTGTTGTGTTATGTGCATTGTCAGATGTTGAGTCTATTACAATTCTGATTGAGTATGGGGATGTTGCACGAGATAGTGCAACATAAGGCTCACCATGGCTGAAAACGAGCTCAGGCAAGTATATACCAATTTTGTTTAGAGATTGACCTTGGCTTTTGTTAATAGTCATGGCATAGCAAACCTTAATCGGATATTGTTTTCTAATGAAAGTGAATGGTAGATCAGTGCTTTTATGAATAAATTTGATACGTGGTAAGTAGACTCGTTTACCAATTGATGTTCTAGTGATAATAGTTGCTTCAATTAGCAATGGTAGTAACTTTGACACCATTAGACGCATTACATTGCATAACCCTTCTTGTTGGTTTAGGTTTCTAGTTAACATAACTAGAGTGTTAACTTTTAGTGGCAGGATGTGTGAAGGTATACTTGGAAAGTTAAGTTGGTTTAGATACGCAGTTGGGTAGAAGCTTTCAAATTCTAATGTTTGAGTGCCATTTGGTTCAATCAAGTCGACACTTTTGTAAGTTGTCATATTGCCGGAGGTGATGTTGAGAATCAGGTCATTTATGTGGTGAGTTGTCTTGTTTTTCGGACATACAATTGCCCTTGCTAATAAGCTAGTAGCAGATGGCATTGTAAGGATGCCATCCCCATACACAAAATGTATAAGAATTTGTAGAGTTGCTTCTCCAGGAGGAATAATAAGTGAAGATGGTATGTCAATTCATCTTGCATCCGTTGTGTCACTTACATCTGGATATCCTAAATCTCCATATCCAACTTTCAATAACCAAGATGCGAATGTGGATACAGAGAAGTCTAAAGTAAAGGGAATGTCATCGTTGAGTAGCCTTATGTTATACTTTAGTTTGTACATCGTGAAGCATGACCACAAATACAACTTTGGTAAAGTTAAAGCAACATTCTGCCATCTATTGCTTTGTGGAGATACAAGTAATGTTTGACGGAAATCACCACCCAATAGCTCCGACATCCCACCAAAAACCTTACTGTCACAATCAAGGATATCTCTTAAAGAATGGTCTAAACATTCAAAACAACGTTTGTCGCTCATAAGGGCCTCATCCCATATGATGATTGATGTTTCTTTTAATAGGGCTGATATGAAAGTTTTATTTTTCATGCCGAATGCTTATTTATTTGAAAAGTCAATTGGTATGTTAAACTTGGAATGAGCCGTTCTTGCCGAAGGTAAAAGCAAGGATGCTATACCTGAAGCAGCAACAGCCAATGCAATTTTTCCAATCGACCGAAAATAGGATAACAATGTTGTCCAAAGGAATGTTTTTCCAGTTCCACCATGCCTGTATATAAAGAACATGACCTGATTTCCATCATTGATTGCAGATACAAATACGTTGTAAATGTTAAGTTGTTCACTGTTTAGGCGAGACACCATTATTATGTGTTGGTTGGACAACTCCTCTCTATCATAACTTGTTTCATCCAAACGCAAACGATTTTGGAAAAATGTTTCAACGTGATCTGATGGCAACGATAAATTGAACTCAGTTACTGACTTTGATGGTGTGCATGAGCGAAGAACTTTTTCTACCTCTAATAAGACCAACTGTTGCAGATGGAAATCACTTATACATAATTGTGTGTTAGGATTGTGTTTCTTCAGATTATATAATATGTCATCACTCATGGCACGCCACCCAGTTTCCCATAAGGAGATGGGATTACTAACTTCACAAAAAATGAGCAAGTGACAAAATAGATACCATAGCTATGCGAAGGTTGCCCAGTCTGATACCTGTGTAAAAGCAAGCAACCACTCCTTGTCATCTCCAATCAGATCCAATGCGTCGAACGCGCTGCGGAAATTAGGATGGAGTCTGTTATAAACAGTGCTAACATCTTCATTGGATTTACAAACTTTCTGATGGAAAAGTAACATTCGAATGTAAAACAACTCACCATCGGATGGGTGTACAAATGCAATTTGACCTATTGCATGTAATGTTATCCGTTCTCTTAACTTCCACCTTTTTACTCGCTTATTCCACACATACTTTGAAGGGCAAGCTCCATATGTTAGATCCAACCCACCTTTATCCCATTTGTTATTCTCAAACCATCCAAGAAGCAAACTACTGCCAAAAGACCCATTGTGTACAACATCTAAAATTCAACTGTCTTCTTTAAAATAAACTATCTGCATGTTCGGTAAGTGAGCTGGTAGTATCACAACTGAGGGATCACGTTCGTGTATTGGAAAATTCAAGATATGCCAAGCAGCCTCATGTGGACAGATATATCGACTGTCAATAAAACTTCATATTACATCAACCACAATCTCTTGTGGAGAAGTGGTAGTTCCATCACCAAAAACATCCTTCTTAATAACAAAATTTTCCCGTTCCATACCTTTTGAAACATACTTGAATAAGTACTTTATCATCATGTTCCAACCACAATATTCAACATTGATATGCGCATTAAAACGATTACATAGATGTTTATTATATGGGACAATATATCCATTATCTATCTCAATAGCATTTTGTAACGTATGACGTGCTAAAGTGTTCCTTCTACAATGTGCGTAACCCTGTTTGTCAATGACAGTGGAATCAGAAAATGGTTTTCGATACCGTTTACTACATTTTCCATCTTTCATACATGGACATTTTATATTTAACAAACCACATGGTCCATGAATCATAGAGGTTTTAATAGTCTGGTATAACAACGGTTCACTGACTGGGTCTGGTATTTCAGCACTGATGAATTTGTCAATGTCAGCAGCTTCTCGTATTTTGTCTAAGTTACACACCCATAAAAGAGTGTGATAGTGTGGTAGACCCCTATTTTGAAACTCAATTGTGTGCAAATCTGAAAAGAATATAACATATCATTATACATACAAGATGGTCACACACACAATACAGAAAAAAAGAAGCGATATAACGATAAATGGAGAGGGGATAACATGTCACGTACGGGCTGTCACTGCGCCAAATTTCTTATCCTCTTTCAAGAAGTTGATAAGTGCTTTGAACTTTATATGGAATACACGAGAAATGATGCCAACTCTACTATGTGCATCCATTTGGCTATGACGTATCATATACCGTCTGATCTCAGGCCAGTTAACGTTACACGTAAAAGTGATAAAGTATTGCGGGTTCCCGTACTCTCTACAAATGGATAATGCATCCTGATAGTCGTTGTACATATAACATGGACCACCTACAAAAGAGGGAGGTAACAATACACACTTCCAAATAGACCGGCTGTCGACATCTCCCCTAGAAATAGCATCATAGATTCCAGTTACATACTCTGATCTCAATTGTTGTTGGTTGCTTTAAATATAATCTAATCGCCCTTGCTCAATACAAGTATATGCATCAACCAAGTATTACTGAAATAATCCAGATGCATTAAGTATAAAGGAGTAAACACCATCACGAGCATGGATTTTATAACTATAGTACATATTTACCGTTAACTTCCTACCATCATTACCTAGTTCGGCTACCAATTTCAGGTGTGGAGACCACCCTCCCTCTCCATAAGGGAAAAGCAAAGGATATTGCAATGCCATATAACTTGGATGAAGCTTGCTAATTCGTTGTGGATTTCCAGAGTGTGCATATAAAATAACATCATACTTGTTTGTTACAAAATCATCACCAAAAACAACGCAACCGAGAGTACTAGGTGTGGGCGGCCCATATCGCTGATCGAGAACATCATTAAAAAGACAGACAACATATGAGTCCAACTCCCTATCGGCAACAAGGTCACGGGAAGTCTTGAATGTACGAACGTACTCATTATGAACATTCAATATGTTCATCAACAATGCAACAACTTACTCATCTAATGGTGGTTTTGATGGCTTATTGAAAGCGTACAGCCTGTTGGAAGCCTCATTTTCTGTGTCTGCAATGTACAACCATAAAAACCTTGGACATTTATGACCTTAGGGACAAAGAGAACCAAGCCTATGTGAGACCTGACCAGATACTTTGAAAACATACGGACCGACACCCTTATTAATATCCTCATTAACCTCACCTCCAAAAGACGTCATTGCAAACATATTATTATAAGCCCTAATGTTGAGCCTAAAAGCATGAACGTCATATAAGGTTCTTAACACAGGAGGAGGTGTCAAAGGGGAAGGCAAAACAATAGTACTCGACTTACAACAATGGGTATAACATGGCCGACTAACAATGGAACTACGAATAACTCTTTCACCGTGCCAAAAGAGAGCACCACAGAATTGGTAGACAAATGAACAGTCACCAGAGTCATCGTAGGTTGGAAGGGGGCGTACGAAATCAGAAGAAGAAAAAGCACGAAGTCTAGTCCGCTTCGGAATGGTGGACGACGAAGAACCAGAGGAGGCAAGAAATAGTTCAGAAGCACAACGTTTTTTACGTGAAGAACTCATAGAGGGAGACGTAGACGTTCATAATTTGGAAAGCAACATCATTAATCATAGTCAGAAACATGTGATTATGTAAAAGAGAATAACATTACCATAAGGACACATGAGAAAGAAGAAGGGAAATTACCTGTGTTTAGCCGGATTCCGATGGAAGGGAAGCAAGTGTGGGAAGTAGATCGGAAAAAATTTAGGAAGGAAGTCTAGAAATCAACACGTGGAAGGTTAGCAGCTACGTAAGCAAAAATGATAGTTATCCCAAAAAAAAAAGATGAAAAAAGAAAATTAGTGGTATTAGGAAAACTTTAGAATGGTAGTGACAAAAGTAAAAAAAAAAAAAAAAAAAAAAAAAAAATACAGTGACAATTTAGAGGAAAACTAAAAAAAATGATACAATTGAAAAAGTAAAAAACTTTGTTGGGTTCCGATGGAAGGGAAGCAAGTGTGGGAAGTAGATCGGAAAAAATTTAGGAAGGAAGTCTAGAAATCAACACGTGGAAGGTTAGCAGTTGAGTAAGCAAAAAATATAAATATCCCAAAAAATAAAGATGAAAAAAGAAAATTAGTGGGATTAGGAAAAGGTTGGAATGGTAGTGTGACAGAAGTAAAAAAAAAATTAAAAAAAGGTACAGTGACAATTTAGAGGAAAACTGAAAAAAAAAAATTGACACAATCAAAAAAGTAAACAACTTTGCCAGATTCCGATGGAAGGGAAGCAAGTGTGGGAAGTAGATTGAAAAAAATTTAGGAAGAAAATCTAGAAATTAGAAATCAGCATGTGGAAGGTTAGCAGCTATGTAAGCAAAAATGATAAATATCCCAAAAAGAAATAAAGATGAAAAAAGAAAATTAATGATATTAGAAAAAGGTTGGAATGGTAGTGACAAAAGTAAAAAAAAAAAAATGGTACAGTGACAACTTAGGGGAAAATTGAAAAAAATGATACAATCGAAAAAGTAAAAAACTTTTCTGTTCATGGGTGGCTACGGGATTATATATATATATATATATATATATATATATATATATATAATATATATATATATATATATATATATTACTCTGATTTTCGATAAATATATTTTGGAATAAACGTTTTTTCTTAATAATGGATTTCTAATTAGGAACTTTTGCCTTATTTAAAAATGAAATTTTTTGGTTGTGAAAATGAGACGTTACACATAAACATCAACAGTCTCACACACTTCATCAATGATTGTTTCACATACGATGTAATGAAAGAAACCTAAAGAAATCATTCATAAGTACTGAATGAGTACAAAAATAGAAATGACTTATTTTGAAACAAAAAATATTAAAGACTAAATGTGTACAAAAATATTAAGAATTAAATGTGTACAAAATAAGATAATATATTACTCTATTAAGTTATTTTTCCAGGTTAATCTGGAGTAACCAATCATAAAGACTAAATGTGTACAGTTTAATAAGTTAAATTGGTAAATATGAACGAAAAAAACTCAGTAACCAAATATGTACAAATCGAAAAATATATTATAATTTTAAGTCAAAAGAAAAGTGTGTCTTAAGGGGAGATTTTGTTGTCTCATCTTTTTGGGTTTTGGTAGATTTTGTTAAAATCGTTTTATATTTTTAATCCAAAACGCCATATGTTTTCCATTAACAAAAAAGGAGATTCTTTGAGTATTTTGTGCACACGATTTGTTTTAATGGTATTCTTATTTATTTTGATGATAAAAACATGAAACTCATTGCATTAGTTTACTAACCAATTAATTAATATGTGTAAAAGTTAATTAGTAATGATTAAAGGATGATGATTTGACAAATCGAAACTTCAATTATAAAACGGGTATATCATTGGGATGTATTGGATGAATTATTATGAGGTATAAGAAGTTTAATTTCAATTTTAATATTAATACAAACGTATATTGGGATCAAATATCACACTGAAACATTTGGTTGGTTGGCCACGAATAAGAAGGTTTTTAAAAAAATTGGTATATCATGACGAAAATCGCTAACAATATTATTTCTTTATCTTATGTCAAGTATAAATATAGATGTAATCGCTGACAACATTATTTCTTTTATCTTATCTCCAGTATAAATATAGATGTAATCTTGGCTGGGAAGCGTGGGTCAACGAGAGTGTTTTGCCATTCACTCATTTTTCTTCTTAATTCATGTATCCTTATTTCTTTCTTTTTTTCCTCTTTGTATTGTAATTTTTGCCTTGTTTTAGCTTCTTGCTTGTAGTTGTTTTTTTTAATATTATTTGTCGTTTCAAAAAAATATATATATTGGAAAACACATTCACAATTCATGGCGCGAATGATACGGGTGAATATAATTTTATCTAATATTTTTAAATGATAATATTCCAAAAATTATTTATTGAAATATTTAAATGCGACTATTTTTATAAAAATGACAAATTTGAAAATATCTTATCTAAGAAATTATAAGATCCAAATGAACATATTAAATGAAAAAATTGCTCATTGCATTTGTAAAAATTTTAAGTGAATGAAATATTTATAAAAATGTTGTTAAGACACTTTATTTTAATTTATGAAAATAAGATTTTTTTTAATATTTTGACAATTGAAGCATCTAAGATTACATTAATCGGGAATACACAACAGAAGGTTTATTTACAAACCTCCCTTCAATGGAAACAAACTATCAACCAGGGTTGAATCAATGAAAATTTTGCTTTATAAATCCACCATCTTCAAGGTGTCGAATATAGATAGGAGATCCACTTCAATTTCTCTCCTCTCCTACCTCTCCAGCTTGGGAATAGTTCTTTCTACTGGCTATCTATCTGTACAATGCCAGTTCAAGCTACCTTCTGGATGGAGTAAGAAAAGGTATGCGCAGAAGCATTAGTTCAAGGCGGATAGGTAAGGGTAGATAGTAAAGGCTTAGCATAGGTAGGGGATAAGCATTCAAATCACTATCTTCAAATACCGTATATAAGAAAAAGAGTGGCTCGTACATATTTTCTTAGACAAGACTAGTAGGCAAGGGAATTGTTATAGCAAGCATGAGCGAGAATGAGCAATGATTTGACTTTCGTTATAGAGTTCGAGTGTTCAAAGTTAGTTCTAGCGGGGGTCTTTTTTTAGTAGGAAAAATGAATGAAAAAAAAAGCGGTGGCTAACAAGGCCCTTTTACCTAAATCCAATATCTTAGGAAGCGAAGAGGACAGGTTTGAAAGTCGTTCGGTAAGATTCTCCCGAAGGTAAGACATTTACCCAAGGCACTGATATTCTGACTCTCTCAATTACACGTGTTTGAGGGAGTTGAACGTCTTATTCTTATGAGTGGCCTATGTGAATATGAGTCAAGAGAAATGATTCCTGAAAGTGAATTCCAGTGCAAGCCTGATATGAAAGTGGAGTTCAATCGTAGAAAGTTAGATGTCTTTTAATCCGGTCTTCTTTTCTCTTTTGAGCCAGGTTCTTAAGACAGGACAGGAAATTGGATTTTCTGAATATCTCTTTTCCCGCCTAAGTTGTAATTCGAGATTAAAATTGTACCTGAGAGAGACTAGACTTCTAGTAATAGTAGGTGCGCCTTTTGTTGAGGAGAGTTGTTCACAAGTAGTGGTTATGAGCTCTTTCTTATTCCGGTTCAGAAGAGGTAATTCCTTCAGTTGCACTAGTGGATTGGATAACCTTTTGTTAGTGCCAACAAAGTGTATGCGTTGTTTGTTAATGTTAATAAGTTCCTATGAAAGGCATTTTTATTTGAGAGAGTTGTTCACAAGTAGGACAAAGGGCTTAAACGAGAAATGAAAGGCATTTTTATTTGAGAGAGTTGTGCTCAGGACTAGCGCGTAGGTGGTCTAAGTTCATATGATCGAGTCTTTCTAGCCCCTGTGGACATATTTTTTTAATGTATTAAAGAGTGCCTCTCTAATCGGTGAAGGTGGGTGTCCACTAACGGCCAATCCTGGCTCGACTTTGATAATGCAATTTCGGGAGGAGTCGGTAGTTAGGCGCTAGATCCCTTCGGACTTGGAGAACGTGTGACGTGTGACACTAAGTCGGGGTTTGGTGAACCAACAGGTCGCTCCTCTAGTTAAAGTATCAGGCCCCTTTTTTGTTGCCTAGGTTACACCTTCGGAATACCCCAGAAGGGAATTTTTATCTACTCCCCCCAATGTGCACTTTACGCCACACCGATGTCGACTTAATTGATACTTCCAAAACCAAAGTTCGAAATTGGGCTCTAGGTTCTAAATTTCATTCACTTTTTCAAACTAATAACCAAGGACCCAAACAACCTTGGGTACCTAAATTCTTTTAATGATTGCAGGTACTGTGTGACGAACAATATGATGAGAAATGGTACATTGATAGTGGTTGCTCACATCATATGACTCAAAGAAAGGAGAATTTGAGAGATTTTAGAAGTTTGGAAAATGTTGGTGTTGTGAAGTTTGGGAATAATCACAAGTGTCAAGTAAAAGGATACGTGAAAGTAACAAATGGACAGTTTACTGTAAATCGTGTTGCTTATGTCGAAGGTCTTCAACATAATTTGATAAGTGTTTCACAACTTGTTGTGGGCACTAGCAATCAAGTAGTGTTTAATGAAGAAGGAACTACCATATCCAATGTTGAAACGAATGAAGTTTTTTTGATATAAAAAACATATGGCGATATGTTTACCCTTGACATCAAACCAATTGTTGGGAAACTCTCAGTTTGTCTACTTTTGAAAGCTCCAACTGATGTCAGCTGGTTGTGGCATAGACGTTTATCTCATTTAAACATTCGAAATCTGAATAAATTGGTGGTAGAGGATCTTATTCGAGGTTTAACTATTTTAAAGTTTGATAATGATACTTTATGTGCAGCTTGCGAATAAGGAAAACAACATCGGAAAGGGAATCCAATAGTCATAGATTCGAAAATTGTTGAACTGTTGGAACTTCTTCATATTGACCTCCGTGGACCTTCAACTGTTGAAACACTCAACAAGAAATGGTACATTTTGGTTATTTT